CATGTCACCAACGGTATTTTCAATCTTCAGCAGTCTTCCGTTTATTTGTTCAAGCACGTCTAGCTTCTTTAGCTTTTCGTGTATGCTTTCCAAGATGGCGGCGCCGGCCTCATGTTTATGTGGTGGCGTTCTTTCATCTTCACTGCTTAAGCATGCCACTTGTCTCGCTCGCTTTTCGTTGGGCATAACGGAAAGGAAAAGCAAAGATTCTCTAAATAGTTTGAGGCTGATTTGGCTAATTTCCTGAAACTGATATAGTGAAACGGCAAGGCAGCGTCGGAGCGACAAAAAAACACGACTACTCCATTTGGCGCCCAGTCCCAGTCCTCAAGGCTCATCTAACATGATTGACATATGTATGGCCCTCGACCAATCCGTTTCCCCGCACACTGGTTTGCGGACTATTCAAAATACCGGGGTTTTCTGGCAGGCGGTATTTCAACCGCCTCGTCCCTACTCCCTTTTTTTGGAACACGGCTCCGCCGCCAAAACTTTAATCTCGCACCCACACAATACCGCCAGCTACGCAGGCTATGTTGCACACAAACCGATAACCACCTTACGACGACTACTTACTAATGTCAAGGACAAAGACAAACCGGAGGACAGACAGGGAGCACTATACAAGATCAAATGCTGCTTCTGCCAGGCTACTTACTTTGGTGAAACCGATAGAAACCTAAGCACGCGAATGACCGAAAACAAACGAGCGACGAGAAATGGTGACGTCAACAATCACATTGCTGAACACTATTTACAGACGAAACATCAAATCGACTGGGACTCTGCGACATGTATTACAGACTACTATCAACGACTCACTTTAGAAAGCTGGTTTACTAACTTAAAACAAACGTCCTTGAATCGTAGTCAACAGTTACCTGCACCGTACAAACAACTTATTGACAAAATCAAGCAAAACTTACTACGAGAGAACGACTGGACAACTGACAACTTGACCAACAATAGACGAAGTGATATTTAGAATTTGAAAAAAGTACTGAAATCATGTTTTTTCTAGGAAGCTACTTCAATGCTAATTAGGGCATAGGCATTTCGGTGACAAAAACTCAAACAAATCTCCACATATGGGCTTGTTGTAATCAGATTCAGCAATATTCTTCATTTATGATATATGCAATGTGGCTATTGTTCAACAAAATGGCTGATGACGAACCCTTTTAGCCACGCACAAAACAAACGGTAGTGTCCCTTTTAGACCACTTTAGAGCTCCAGCACCTAAAGGTCTTTCACGATCTCTGCCTGTATTAAAGTGCAATACCCTAGTCTTCTTGTAGGTTGAGGGGTACTGTAAATAAGGCTGACTTTTTGTGGAATTGCTTAGAGTTTTGTTGTATGCTGTACAAGAATATACTTTCCTGAAATTTGCTGAAATTTGTGTTGCCATTTTAGATGAGAATGTAATATTTATTTTATTTTTAAGATATTTAGAAAAAAATCGGGAATCTCCGGAAACATATTTAAATTGCCATTTTTTATGATATTTGTATCTAGGCCTAACTATCGCACAGGTTGTCGAAACGTCAGTCACTGTCAACAAGAACAGTGCTATTCAGGACTACGTTCACCCGTACGATGAAACTCAACCTACTTTTGAGTATTTTCATAATAAGGTCTCATTTTATGAAGGTATAGTGTAGTCATTCTTAATCTTGGAAAATAACTTTACTATATTCCTAATGCTACAAAAGCTTCGTACTCTCTTATAAGAATGATACTAAAATAGAATTTGAAAAACCATCTATTCTTACTAATTGAAACACTTATCATAATGTCGAAAATGATTTTTCTTGTACATGCACATCAATCGTCCGAGAGTCTCAATTCTTTTAATTTCCAGCTGCAAAAGTTTAATGGCTTTTATAGCTGAGTGCAACAATTTTTTTTATAAAATGCGATGGCCTGTTATTACAGGGTGCAAAAGCTAAATTCATTATCAAGCATGACAGTTTTATTGCAAAGCGCGAGAGAATAGCATCTCCTCGAAATATTTTGTATTAAAAACCCTCTTAGATATGTCAAACAAGATTTCCCTTTTGTCTCATATATCTCATCATGTGATTTTCCTGGCCTTTAATTAATATACCCAGGAAGCCTGAAGAATGTACTGCTTTCGGTAGGAGCCTTCATGTATAGCCATTATAGGGAGTACCCTCTCAGGGTTGGGGAGGGGAGGGCAAAAGAGTATGGCTTTAATTTTTTGCAGAAGGACGGAGACATCCCCAGTAATCTGCTTGAGGGTTTGCGTTTCAAAACAGAAAACCGTCAGAATAGATGGGTAGGGACATGAAGGTCTGAACAAAGGACATCAAAGCCAGTTTTAACTGCTTTCGATGTCATTTGGCAGTTTTGCAATTTTGCCATCAGCTAATCCGTGCACCCTTGGTTATAAAACCCCCAGGCAATAAAACCATGCATAGAAAAGAAATACGGCGCCACTTTGTGCAAAACAAAGGAGCGCATACCCCAAAGTGCTAAAATCAGCTGCAATGCAGACAACTGGGGGACAGAGGGATATAATGCTAAACACTTTCAGTAGCGAAATGGCTGCAGAAATGAAAAAATTCCCCTAAGCTCCCCTAAATGTAAGTGATGTCCTTGACTGATTAAAACTTTTAACGAATAATTAAACATGTCACAAAGAAATTGAATATAATTCCTCCTAATGTACCTAGTCCCCTGGTCCGTGCCAGCAAAATAGCTATTTATGCCTGTTCCGTGATGCTACACTGTCAGTAGCTGTCAGTAGATGTTGAATCATCTGGAGCTGATATTTTCGCAGTAACTGAGACATGGCTCTCAGAAATTGATGATGCGTACAGAGCCGAAATCACCCCACCCGGGTACAAGCTGTTTGATCACACACGATCTGATCGATCTGGTGGTGGAACTGCTCTATTGATAAGAGAAAATCTACATGCAAGTCGTGTAGATGGTGGTGTGCGTACTTCTTTTGAATTTTCTCATTAGATGGTCGAGTTCCAGTCGCGAAAACTACAGATTATTATTTTTTACCGTCTACCCTATTAGAGTAACCATCCTGTCACGACGAGTGTATTGTTTGCTGATTTTTCGAGTCTTTTGGAGAGTATCATAATGTCATCTGTAACGTTACTGATAGCAGGTGATTGTAATATCATGTAGAAGTTCCGGGGAACACAGATAGTGTTTGTTTAAAGGAGCTGCTTGTGTCAATGGGCCTTCAACAACATGTAAACGAGCCCGAGGCCATTGGTACCTTGGTTTAGTGAAGATATTAGGGATTCCAGGAGGGAAAGCCGGAGAGCTGAAAGAAAATGGCGTCGATCTCCAAGTGTCCGTGATTTGCTTGAATTTAAAAAGAAGAGGAACTTTACAACCTACCTGATGAATGAAGCCCGTCGTAAGTTTTACTCCGACTTTATTGTTGAAAATAACTCCAATCAAAGGAACCTATTCTTGGCAACAAAGAGGTTGCTAAATCAAGGTCATGAAGTACCTTTTCCACCAACTAGTGACAAGCTGGTTTTATCCAGTGAAATGGGTAGCTTCTTTGTTGAAAAGATTGACGCCATCTATGTCAAATTGGACAGACTAGCTGATTGTTTGCATGATTCCCATTTTGACTGTGTGAAAACGTTACCAACTAGAACACTGGACAGCTTTATCCCTTTAACTGAAAGTGCAGTTAGTAAGTTGATTGGATGCTTTCCGAAGAAGAGCTGTATGTTTGATCCGATGTCAACACCTTTAGTAAATAATCAGCTGTGCTGATGTGCTATTACCAGTCAATACTAAAATGATCAACCTGTCTCTTAATTCTGGAGAATTTGCGGATGATTGGAAATGTGGGCTTATTAATCCTATCTTGAAGCAACCTGGATTGGATTTGCTGTACAAAAATTATAGACCAGTTAATAACTTACAATACGTATCCAAGTTGACTGAAAAAGTCGTTTTTATTCAAGTTAACGATCACATGGTTTCAAATGCTATTTTTCCTGCCCTTCAATCTTCTTACAGGCAATTCACTGAAACGGAACTTATCAATGAGATGAACGATATTTTGTTAAACATGAACTCTCAACACGTCACTTTGTTAATTTTGTTGGATCTCAGTGCTGCCTTTGACACTGTTTATCATCGAATACTTTTAGAGAGGCTATCTGACGAGGTTGGCATACGTTGGACTGCTCTGAATTGGTTTAGATCGTACTTGTCTGATAGAAGTCAGCGCGTTTCTGTACATGGAGTTCTCTCTCGTCCTTTTGACTTGAACTGAGGGGTACCCCAAGGCTCATGTTTAGGGCCTTTGCTATTCATAATTTATGCGTCTAAGCTGTCTAAGATCGTAGAACATTATCTTCCCGACGCTCACTGTTTCGCAGATGATACGCAGCTGTATCTGAGTTTTAAACCACTCGGCAACACTACTGAAGCTGATGCTATACAAGCTACGGAAAAGTGCATTGACGCGGTGAGTAAGTGGATGATTCAAGATCGGTTGATGATCAATGATGATAAAACGGAGTTTTTGTTGGTCGGCACACGACAGCAGCTTGATAAACTAGATTCGTGTTCCATCACTGTGGGCAATAATCGTATCAGTCCAAGCCCATGTGTTAAAAACCTTGGATCGTGGTTTGACAGCAACTTAAGCATGACTGATCATATAAACAAGGCTTGTACTGCGGCATTTTATCATTTACATAACTTGAGACGTATTAAGAAATACCTGTCGAGAGATTCTTTAATTACCTTGGTTCATGCTTTTATAACCAGCCGTCTTCACTATTGTAATGGTTTATTGTTTGGCTTACCAAAGGCGGAGATCGCTAAATTACAGCGTGTACAAAATGCAGCAGCAAGACTTATTCTTGGCATCGGAAAATTTTCTCACATTACAGCGGCGCTTTATGAGCTGCACTGGCTGCCGGTTTCTTTGCCTATTGACTATAAGATTTTACTTTTGACTTTCAAATGTATTTATGGCCTAGCGCCAACTTATCTTAGCGATCTTATTAGTATAAAATCGAATTCATTATATAACCTTAGGTCTGCTGGTAAGCTCTTATTGGACCATCTCAAGGGAAAGATGCTTAGAACATTGGGAGCAAGATCATTCTCAGCAGCAGCTCCGAAACTCTAGACTGGCCTGCCTGTGGAGCTTCGTCAAGCAGCATCACTTAACATTTTTAAATCTCGACTACAAACGTATCTTTTTAAGAAGTACTTTTATAGTTTGTAACTAAGGTTAATTTATTCTCACGGTAATGTATTTTCGTTTTCTCTTAAACATATGATTGTAAAGCGCTATTGATCAGCATATGTAAATACGCGCTATATAAATTGGTAAATTATTATATTATTAGTAAAATCTAACGAGTGGTCTATTATCAATGCTGCGTTCTGATTGGTTGAGCTACTACTAGGCTATATGTTATAGCCCACTAGTAGCGAAAAGCGCCGGCTTTTGGGCGGCAAAAAAGGATTCAAGTCTAGCTTTAAGTAGCTAAGTTTTTTTCTATTCTCGATATTTTTGACCAACTAGTTGGATTTTACTAAAACAATTATTCCTCTCGACCTTATGGCCCCTGAGTCAATAGCTCATTCGGCCTTCGTTTGGGCTATTGACTCAGAGGCCATTCGGGCTCGAGGAATAATTGTCAATTATTATTAGTAGTAAAACTATTTCTTTTTCCAAAGCACTTTCGTCTACTCTTCGTTTTAAACTTGTTAGGTCTTCATTGTATAACCTCAAAAGGCCTTGAACTTGTCTAACATTGACATCGTGTTTTCCACATTTGTTTTAACATAGTTTAAAGCTCGGTCACCGCTAAATTGGTGGATTATCTGATGTTCGATTCTGTCTTCAGCTGCATCGACCACAAGTAAAGATCAAACTTATCTTTTTCAAAATGGTTTTGTATTCTTGTCTGAAGCGCCTATTGGTAGCGCCATATATGAACGGGTTGATTGTACTACTTAGGTAGGCCAGAAACCCGTAAGTAAGATATACCTGTCGTGGCAAAGTGGGCTCCCCGCGTGCTGCGTCGATGTAATCCATAATACAGATAGGAAGCCAACATAAGGAGAAACTGGCCATGACCAAGGCTAATGTCTTGGTCACTTTTGCTTCTTCGACGTTTGCTCTGAGCTGTTCAGGGTTATTTTCTTGCATGAAAACACGATTTGATCTTGACACTGTGTAGAACACTTTGGCGTAGCAGAAAGTGATGAATGTAAAGGGCGCAGCGACAAACACACATTCGATGAACACGGTATAAGCAATGTTACTTTGGAATGGGTACATGCACATTGCTTTTCCTGGATGGAAATTGTATCCGCCTGTCTGAAAAATTAGCGGAGGCACTGAACCAATGAGAGCCATACACCATACTGCCGCAGTGTACAACACAATTCTTTGTTTTCTGAATAAAACAATGTACCTCGTTGGTTTCACCACGCAAAAATATCGGCTAACTGCAATAACCCCCATGGTATTTAGAGACGCCAATGAAAACGTAAACATTGCAGCACCATGGAGTCGACAAACACTGGTCCCGAAAATCCATCGCCCTTGAACGAGAGTAGCAACTGACAGAGGCATAGAGCTGACAGATATTAGTAAATCACTGACAGCTAGCGCTACAATAAACATATTGGTAAGCGAACGAAGGCTCTGGTTTCTATACACGGCGTAGCAAACAGAAATGTTTCCAGAGATGGCCATTGTATTGACGATAGCAAGGAAAATTGCTTCAATCCAGACTAGATAATGTGGTCTTTTGAGGAGCTCGCTGGAATTCAGATGTTCCATAATACGGGGCTGATTCAAACGAATTCGTTGAAAGTATGCAGCGAAATCTTGAGAAGATCTTTGTAATAATTTGAACTCTACTGTTTTCAACGTTTAAGGGAAGTAGCCTTCTATACTGGATCAGGTGTTCGTGTCATTAATGAAAAATGTCAAATCATTAGTCATTAATATCAAAACCAAGTTTGAAGTTAATTTGAATTCATTGTTTACAGCTAACCAAGACTTAAACAGCTGCACCCCCCGCTCCCCCCCAAAAAAGAGATATCCTAGTAGCCAAGAGTGTCTACCTCTCCGTTGGTTGGGGGTAAAATAGGGCGCTTAAGAGCGGCAGTCTGTAAATATCGAGAATTTGCCGTCAAAACTGAAATTTCGAAATACTTCATTTTCAGTCAGGAAAAACCGTTTGGTGAAACATTTTTGAAAATAAAAATCAAAGTTTCCAAAGAATTTTGTTTTTCTAGAAAACCGCCAAAAAGTGAAATGCTGCCCCACGTTACATAGTCGCCGATCTAAAACCTTTGAATTTTACCATTTTCAAAGCCCTCGGGAAACAAGTTCAACTTTGGCAGGTAAGTAAGGTATCCCAGTTACAATACTATTTGGTAAAAATATTGCAAGATAATGCATTTTTACTCGGTTAAAAACGCCCAAAGATTCCTATCTTCAGCACTTTCATAAACAATGAAATTTTGCGAAACTTTAAAGGAAAAAATCACGACTTGGTACATGAAATTTGTAATATTTAAGTCATGAAACTACAGCACGAAACGAACCATGTGCTAGTCCTCCATTTTTAATGTACTGCTCAAGTGCAAAATACAAGGAGCCTGGAACATGATATATTACACTCCTGCCTAATAAATGGGTTGGTTAGCATAGCAACAGTAACAAGAAATGCACGTCTAACAGATAAACAATGTTCAGCTTCGTCATCTACTTAAACAATGTTCACATTTCACATGTGAGTCTGCGTGGTGGTCTCCTCTCCCGACTTGGGTACCTCAGTGCTGGATGCGGTGACAATGGTGTCCCTGACCTGAGGGACTTGTTCCCTCCAAAGCGTCTCCCAATGATGATTCTGGTGTCACCTCAGTTGTGTCCTGTTCCTCTACGTCACCTGCATCCGGAACTCCTCCTGCCTCGGATGTATTAACCGGTGGTTCAGAAAGAC